CCCCGTGGGAGGGTAAGTCAGGGTCAGGTTCTGGCGCCAGCGCAGCAGCTCAGCCCAGGGTGTAGGAGATGCAGCACAGACTCTCCAGAGATTGCAGAGTGAATAAGAATGACGTTTTGTACCTTTTAGTTCTACCAAACGCTGCCAAGATGACAGGGAGATGACTAAGGTTCTAAATCAAAACTCCAGGAAGAGAAACATCCACGTCTAAACTGGGAACTCATGGGATTCTCCCGCCGGCTTAAGCCCACAGCTGTTTCTTCTGCGGTTCCCCGCCGTGTACCCTTCCTGCCTGTTTCACATCATACAGAGGCCGATCGCGATAGAAACACAGGGCCGTGAGAGAAAAGAATGTGCACACAGACGAAAGAGTTACAGTTTTTATTTAATAAAAAGTGATTTTTAAAACCCTTCACAGTATGCAAGATGTTTTAACAGAAAAATCATCTAGAAAGAAATATGCATCGGTTTAATTAAGGGATGGCGTCTGCAGCCTAACGGTGGCTTCTCAAAACACACCGTGACCATTTAAAATGAGCACGGTGCTCTTTCTGAGAGGCAGTTTAAACGTATTATTCGGGACCCTAGGGAACAGTTCTGACCATATGGGACAGAAAGACGTTGGACAATACGCCCCGTTTACCAGGGACACACGGGCAGGAAAGGGATCCGATGACAATGGGTTCCCCTTTTGCTGCAAAGGCACAGCAGGCGGTGTGTACTCGATTTTCTGCTAGATTTATGCCAAAGAAAGCCATTTAAGCGAGCGTTCTGGAGTTGGTGCCCTGCCTTTCCTCGGGGCCAGGAAGATTTTGGAAATTCATTTCAGGGAGTAAGACAGATCCAAGTGAATATTCATTAGCTTCAGTTTATTTGCTGCAAAGGTGGCGTGGCTACCAATTTTTGGCTGGCTGCGAGATTAAAAGGGAGCATTCTGGAAGCTGCAAACTTTCAGCCTGATGAATAAGAAATTATTCCAAACTATAGTGTCAGGAAAAAGAAAACAAACCACCCCTCAGTATTCTGGGCAAGCAATAGAGACCTTAAAATGGGAAAGCCAACCTTAGGGAAACTGGCGGCTGAATCTGCAGTCTTGGGAGCAGCCACCAGGACTCCGGGGATTAAGATGAGTATTTTAGGGGTGGGAATGGGGTCTAGTCTCAGGTAAAACGAAAACAAACCCTACAGATGACCAACTGCTTTAGCGTAGACATATCTGCTCCAAGGTCAACCATGGAGATGGCAAAGGCCTTCTCCATGCACAGCAAGGACGGGTGAACAGAGTGACAATGAAATGTGCTCACTGAAAAGGAAAGTTGGGACAAGCCAGCTCCTGCAGGCCAGGGAACTCTAACCACCGACATGCCCACCACCGTCACGGCCTCCGCCATGACCAGCGAGGCAGACGCTCCTGCTGATGATGACGCATTTGGCCTGCACTGGGCCTGTGCTATGTTTTTAAAAATCCTCCCAGCAATCGAACGAGGATGATAAACTTATTTCCAATTCACAGATGAGAAAACTGAGGCTCAGAAGGAGCAGCCGCTTGTCTAACACCGCGGAGCTGACGTGCGGCCTGACACGAAACCAGGTCTGCCTCCGGGGGGCCCCGCTCCCACCCCGGAGAAAGTCTGGCCACCCGCACCCCCGGCAGCCCCCCAGCCCGCAGCTGTCACAGCTCTTCGGAAAGCACTCTTGCAAAGTTCAGCATGACAAATCTGCTTCAAGGCCTGCAGATGTGACGACAGTCATCACCACTAAAATTCGTTTAGCAGCAAGTGAAAATTTTGGCAGCTTATCAGAAAGTTACCAATTCTTCATTTCAAAAAATAGCACCATGAACTATAAATGATCTAAAATTGACACTTCCAAATAAAACCTGTAAGCCTCGCCGGGACTTCGACTTTTAAAGCTTTTATTTATTAGCGGCTTCATCTTGCAAGGTCAACAGGCGACGCGGCAGCGGGGGGGAGAATGCATGGACCAGAATGGCGGAGGGCTCCTCCACCGTGAGCCGTCTCCAAGAGCATACACTCTCATTCGGTCACCTTCCTAGGTCCGCCCACCCTCCTCTGCAGAGTGGACGAGTGAACGAGTGAACACGTCTCGCCGAAGACCGCAGGGCGTCTGAGGTCTGTTATTCTTCAACTTCTCACTTTCGATCAGGATCCACATCTGTTAGAGAAAAACCGCTGACAGCACAACTTCCGGGCGCCCTCCGCACGCGAATTCAACCGGGGCCCCTTCCCCGGCCTGCGCCCTTCCCGCCTAAGTAACAAGAGGCCATTTTTCTGAAGGTCGTATGAACAATTTCAAAGGCTGTAACAAATCAAAATGTTCCCTGCATCTAATATCAAACGGGGCTGATGCCAACACTTATTAGAGAAATCAGATTCAGGCTTCCACCAACCCCCTCGACCCGAACGCACGCACACTTCCACCTTTGAAGTGGGAAGAATGCAGCTCGGGATTACCCTGGAGACAGCTCTGGCTGTCTTTGAAGGCTCCCTTTGATACCCCATTTCTTCCCTCTCTTCCGCTAGGAGGCTGAAAGCAGCCTTTTTTTATTGATATGGGGTAATTAATGAAGCTAGAGCATTAACATAACCTAAATCTCCTAATAAGACAAATTCGACCGAGACACTCGCGTTTCTTTTTTCAGTTAAGTCTGGCGTGCAATCGGGACGAAGGCCAGGTCGCCAATTTAAGTCTGCCTTGGAACCTGCTGAGTCACGGCTCTTCACTCCTCCCTGGTCACAGTGACTGCCAGGTCGGTAAGGCTTACAAGCACTTTTATTTTGTATCATGGGCATCAGCCCACCGGTGCTTGGAATCACAAACATGCACCGCGGGGAGACAGGGTGACCGGGGCCGTGGTGACAGCTGCTACTGCGAAGCGCGAGCCTCGCTGGGCTTCTGACGGGAGACCACCTGCCGGGGCGGGGCGGGGCCGCAGTGGCGGCGTAGGGATAACTGAATCTTTTAGGATGTGCTGGCTACTCTGGGTGTGGAGGACGCAGACAGCTGCACAGGCAGAAGTTCAGACCCGGTCAGCCCGTGAGAGGCTCTCCAAGCCACACCCGCGGAGCTGGCGGCTGAGCTGGAGACTGCGGCGTCCCCAAGCAACGCTCAGGTGGCAGCTCAGCAAATGCAGGGGTGCGCTGCGGAACCGCGCACCGCACACCGCACACCGCACACCGGAAGCAGCAGCCTGTCCGGGGGGCCACGGCAACGGCGCGTTCACCGCACTGATGCTCCGTGTACGTAAACACACGTGAGTTCACACAGGCCAGTGTCGGCACTCCGAACAGAACACCAAGGACGGCTGCGTGCTTCTACTTTTACTGTTTGTAAAGTGCTCTGAAAAGAAGAAAGGGCTAATCACGTTGGCCGGGATTAGACTGGGCCGAGCGGTCAGCTGAGCGCGGCTCCGCCCAGTGTGGTTCACGCGCCTTCAAGCCTGTGGGCGGCCCTTCCACCTTGCTGTTCCTCCCAGCCCCTTGGGCCAAGGCGTGCCGCTGTGAGAGGGAGCGAGGCCTCCTGTGTCCCATCTGTGACTCGGGCCGTGGTGGAATTCGGGTTCGCAGACGGCTCTGGTGAACGAGGCCCCACGCTCACCCTCCGTCGGGAAAGCCCGCGGCGTGTGCGCATGCGCGCGTCTCCTTCGTTCTTTGACTTGTTGATGACTTCGCTCCCTGCGGCTGCTTTCAGTTCCCCCCTCTCGCTTTTGATTCTGCGTTTTCCATTCCAGCCACGACCTTCTCACACCCCGAACGGGCTTTCTCGTCACCCCCTCCCACACACTGCTGGGCCTCTGCATCCCAGGCGCTGAGGTCTACCCTTGGGACCCGTCACGGCCCAGAGGCTGGACCTCAAGAGCTCCTGGCAGATAGAGGTTTGAAATCTGGCTCGGTGTGACTCGGGCAAGTCCCTTTACGGCTCTGGGTCTCAGTTTCCTCATCTGGAAAACGATTCTAGAATTCAGTAACCGCCGTGGGCAACGTCGGCTTTTGCACGGTGCCCACCAGACTAACATACGGAACGCTGTCGGTGTGTTTATTATTTGCAAGATAGACGTGTGAAGAAATCATCATGGTGTACGAATCCTCATTAGAGAAAAAGATTGTTTAACTGTGCCATGGACGTACTGACGCCGCTGTAACCTGTGCCGTAAGCACAGTCAGACGCAGGCCTGCCATCTCCAGAGCCCGTGCTCATGTAAGAGGGGTCAGAAAAACGGGGACCGAATGAGCAGGAAGATGGCGAGGGAACAGTAGGAGTCTGTCAGGGAGACGAAGAGGGGGTGGCACGAAGGCGAAGGGCACAGAGGGTGTGAGCGCTGGGCCGTTCTGGGAGCCACAGGAGCACAAGGCGCTGGAAAGGAAGACGAGGCGAGCTTATCAGTGAATGGCGGCAGGTGACGTCAGAGAGGGAAGCAGGGCCCAGAGCACGGGATGCCAGGCTCCGGGGTCTGGATTCCGTTCCCTCATCCAGACTTTATACAAGCATGTTCTGCAGTACGTTCGTGTCTCACTGTGCTCGAAGCATAAAGGCAGACCAAAGAATTTAGTGGTCAAGTGAGTTAGGAAAACACTGCATACTACATACCCGTCTCGGGAGAGTCACAAGGCACGTGGGCAAACTAAAGTCTAAGATGCTTACAGTCAAACCTACTGGACTCTCTCTAACCCAGTGCTCCTCAAACTTTTTTGACCATGGAATGCTTTGCGCCTAACGACGATTAATACTCTCCTTTCCTGCTTTGGGAGGGCTGCTCTGGGCAATGGGAAAGATAGCAAAAATCGAGAAATCATCTGTTTGGACATGTCCTTTAGGAAGACAGCTCTGGAGGCCAAGGGGAGGACAGACTGTGGAGGGAAGTCGGACTGGAGGAGGCTCATGCAGCGATTCGGTTGAGAGAGAACCCAGAAGGAGTGGAGATGGATGGGGGGGAACAGATTTGAGAGAGATTTAAAAGGGAGAATCATCGGAACCTGCAGGCAGACGAGACACGGAGGGAGAGGGGAGGGAAGGTTTGAGCGATTAGGGGGCACAGTTAACAAAGATGAGGAACAGTGAAGGAAACTGAGTTTAGGGAGGAGGATGATGAGCTTAGTTCTAGACAGGCTGAATTCGAGGAGAAGTCCAACATAAAAACAAAGCAGGAGTGACCCGTGTGGGTGACGTGTGGAACCACAGGGGTGGGTGAGGATGGCCAGGAGGCATGAGCAAAGAGAGGGGAGAACACTGGGGAATGTGGGCGTCAAAGGGGCCGATGAGGGACGGGACTGTCCAAAGCGGCTGAAGACGAGTAGCGAGAAATGCTACCAACATCCTGATGAGACGATTTTTTAATAAAAAATACGTCTTGTCATTTACTGAGTATGTCCTAGGTGGAGAAGCGCGAAGTGCTTCATACGTGCCATTCTGGACCCTCTCAGTACAGGGCAGTTGGGCAGACATGAGGCTGAAGAGCTCACGCAGAGCAGGTAGAAGCTCTGCTCCTTACAATCTAAACTCAGGGGATGTGTCGTCTGCATCCTGAGTCTGGTGTCTCTCATGGTACGGTCATTATTATTACCTAACTTGAGGTGTATTTACTCTTGACCTCCCCGTTTCACTCGTAAGTCCTCTGCAGAGCAGTGGCTGGCTGTTTCACGCCAGGTATGACTGTAAAGTTGCAAACCTTGAACAAATGCAACCAAAGCACATCCCTAGGTGACCGGTGACCACTGACCAGGGGCTCCCAGCCAGGGTATCTGCTGCCCCAGCGCTGCTTCTGTGGCTGCTACGTAGTTCTGAATTTCTCGGTTACAAGTGCCATCGGCGTTGATGAGTCATAAACACAGCAGATCACGCCTGCCCCGATCATCCATTTTCTCCGCAGGTGCTCCGAAGACGGTCTGGTTTTGCAGAAAAAGAAAAAGAAGCCTCCCGTCCAGGCATGCCTCGCCACCGATGGGGAGGTTTACGAGAATCGGCAGAATACCTGAGAGCAGAGAAGCCTCTCGAGTCCACGACACTGGCACAGAAAGTGGAAGCGCTGGGCGACTCACTCAAAACACAAATCCCGTTACCGTGCGGGTCACAGCGCTACGGTAACACGATGCCGCGTGCTAAGCTACATGTGTCACCCTTTGTGAAGAACAGTCCATCCTCATTATAACGTGGCCGTTGGGGTGGTAGGGACTAGCAGGAAAAAACTTTTAAGTTTTAATGGGATTCACGAAGAGAAAGGACGGCTCCCGGGAGGGGCCGGCTTGGTGATGGGGAGGGGCCGGAGGCTTGGTGATGGGGAGGGGCCGGGGTGCGCCCGGGCGGGCAGCGTGCTCATTACACCCTGGGAGCGAACACAGACGAAGGCTGCCATCTCTCATCAGCATCCTCTGATGCTCTCCACAGAGCCGGATGGGCAGCGGGAGAAATTAGGGGTCCACACGGGAGAATTTTCCACGAAACAAACCACCCACGAAAATGACCTGCCTTTTTTCAATGGCAGAAGTCGGTGTGTGCTGCTGCGGATAAGCAGCATCCTGAGGGCTACTTGTTAGTTTCACAGAAAAAGACTGTCAGCCGATTGTGTGTCAAACTAACTCGAATTTTCCTCGTGGTTCTAGGAAAAGCAGAATGCTGAACCCTGGGCTACTGATGTGCTGTGCCACTAGGCAACAGAAGGGAAAAAAATCCATTTCCTCAGAAGATACATTTAATGAGGCAACTGGGGTCTAAGGTGATAAATTAGAAATTCAACTATGGGCATCGGGCTGAAAGGAAAAAGCAGACGCCTGATGAAAAATGCGAGGGGGGAGAGAGACGTTTTTCATAAAGCGTCCCATCTCCGTACTGGCAGATCTGTGCCTGTCCGTCATCTCCGCTGTCACTCGCCTGGGCCTGTCCTGTATTCGTGTGGGGCGCAGAAACCAAAGGAGAAACAAAACGACGGCCGCAGGTGCTCACCTTGCCATCCTCCGTGTAGACGTTCTCGCTGTACCCCTTCACTATCGTGCGATCGATGAACAGGCTCCGCATGACGACGATCACTTTCAGCACCTTCCCCAAGGTCACCTGTCGAAACATACGCACGTGACCGTGAGCACGCAGACATACGAGTCACACGCAGTGCACGAGATGGGGAGGGGAGATGCGCTGGGGACCCTCCGCGGGAAGGTGGGGGGCTGCCCTGTGGGCTGGTACCCCGAGTGCTTGGGAGCCAACTCCCGACAACAAGCGCTTCCCTAACCACTTAGAGACGGTACGGGCCCCCAATTCACCTAACTACCCTGGATTTACTTATACTTTAGCTTACAAACTCTCAGGATGAGTTCCGTTTACCATCCCCTGGATAGAGCAAAATTTCCCCTTATTTTTCTATCTTAAGAGTATCTGCTTTAAAGGCTATCCCCATGATCCTATCCCATGATTCTGGCATTCTAGGAGTCAGCGAGCGCATCTGTTTTCACGACGCATCGTGGCCCACGTACGCCCACGGGTTATGGACAGCACAAGAGAGGGATTAAATGCAGGCACCACACACCCTGGCCGAACCGTCTATTTATAACAGCTGCTTAGAGGCACAGAAGCAACACCAATGACTTCTGAAGGTAAGTGGAGTAGCTGAACTTCACCTCCAAAAAGGAACCCGATCCTGGAAATACATTTAAGTGCGTTCACTCTTTTAGAACTTTAAGCACATGTTATGGATTAGGGAAAAAAAAAAAAGAAAGAAAGAAAAACACCTAAAAAAGTGCAGTTTCATACATGCCAGAGAGAATATAACCCGCTGTGCTTGCTGGCACGGGCTCGGCACTAAGAACAGAAACGGCACCTTCCTGCCTTTGCCAAGCCTCTTCTCCCCGTTTGCTGGAGGAGACCCCAGAGCGAGACTGGCACAGGACCCACCCAAGGCCCTTGGTCGGGGCTGTCACATCTCGGATTAGCTGGAAAGGCGCCGGGCTGGTCTAAGAAGGCAGAAGGCTCCGTCCCAAACAGCAGTCTGGTTCTGGGGACGCCACCTCACCCACCCTCTCCTCATTTCCCTGTTCCTACAGTTTCGCGACTGACGGTCCTCATCACACCTTCCTCTTTCACCGATCAGTCCCGGGGATCAGCGACCATTGCTAAGATCTAGTTCCTTCAATAACTTCTAGTGCTGAGCTGATGTCTCCATTTTTGTATGCCGGAAATGGCACAGAATACACACTGAGCAAGACAAAGATATGATACATTTATTTATATTTAAGAGAATGTTAATAAAAACACCTTAGTTCTCTGTAGTACTTCAGAATGTTGCTACCCCGTGTAACATTTAAAGGATCGTTGTTTATACAACTGGAAGTCACACTCCAGGACGCCAATAAGCCACAAAGGTGGGAGCAACTGTCTCCAGTTTACACGCCATTTATTGGAAGGAATAGAGGGAGAGAGGGAGAGAGGGAGAGAGGGAGAGACTTAAGTGAGAAAGGGAACACTTATTCCCAACCCCAGGGAGACAGGGAGACAGGGAGGGAGGGAGGGAGGGAGAGAAAGAGATCGAGTTATAATCTGTAATTGTAAGCACTGAAATCGATAGCTTCTCAGGAGGTTACAGTGGAGGTCCAATATCAGACCTCGCCCATCTGTTTTCAACTGCCCCTTTTAACTCTCTTTGCTAATAAGCATAGATAACTAAGCAAGTGCTTCCTTAAAACACCGAAGTCTAGTTGACTTTAACGCCTGATAAACTGCCTTAGTAATTTCTAAAGTTTCTTAAGATGGAATTCAGAAAAAAACCCCCACTAAAGATACTAGAAATTATATATATATATTTTTTGTTTTCAAAGGTGAATTTTGGTATTTTAAAGTTAACTAATACTGAAAAGTTAACTAATAAATGTTTATTATGGAAAAATCTAGAATTAGAGAAAAAAGGAAGAAAATAATTATTCATAGTCTTCCCATCCAAAGATAACCATCATTAACATTTTGAGGTGCTTCCCTTCAATTTGGTTACTGACAAAGACTTATCGTTTTGATGTTTTAACATGTTTATAATCGAAGCTATGTACAATTTCAAATCAAGCTTTTATTAAAAATGATGACATACGCATTGTTCCGTATCGCTATGCAGTATTCAAAAATGGTGTCACGAGCTGCAGGGCACTCTATTCAGTGGATAGACTGTAATTTCTTTAACCATTCTCCTATTTGTTGGACAACAGTTGTTGCCAAGTTTTCCAGTATATAAACATGGCTGCAACATGCATTTCTGCTCACAAAACTTCCACACGTTTGGGATTACTTCTTGAAGACGGACGTGTAGAACTGTATTTATTACTGGGGCTAGTGGTACAAACCTTTTACAGGTCTTGATATAATCTGCTCCAGGGCTAACCAACTACAAGGTTAGCCGACCAGAAAGGAATGAACACACCCACTTCATTTCGCTCTTGCCAGTGACAGGTGCTATTAAATCAGAGTAAAATGAAATAAAACCCATCCACCTCCCAGAAGTGCCCACTTCAGTCTTTTGCTATGGAAGATCCTAAAACACACACACAAATAAATGAAATAGCATGAAGATGGCTCACGGACCCGTCCCAACGCGAACAGTTACGACTCCTGGCAAATCTTGTTACGACCCCATCGACTTTTCCCTTCCTGTATTATTTTGAAACAAGTAATAGCCATGGTTTCATTTCACACGTAAGTATGTCAGTCTGCCTCTCCCAAAGATAAGGGCTCTGAAAACAACAAAAAAGCACAACCACGATGCCAACCCGCATCTAAAAAAACCAAATTCTCCAATATCATCAGAGCTACAGTCCAGTGTTCAAATTTCCAACGGCCTCAGAAACGCCACGTTCAAAAGCTTGCTTGTATCAGGATCCGAACACGGCACAAACAATGTGATCGGCTGACACATCTCCTAAGACCTTCCTAAATAAAAGGTACGGTCTCTACCCCTCCTCATTTGGTTGGTTCATGACAGTGGGTCATTTTTTCCAGTCTGGCTTTTGCTGATGGCCTCCCCGTGGTGCACCTCACATGTCTGTCCTCACTCTGGACTTCCTGTATAGTGGTCATTAGGATTTAGGCTTGATTTTTTTTTTTTTTGTCAAGACTACTTCCGGGCGGTGTGGCAGTCTACCAGCGGGAGGCACGCGAGGTCGGGCGTCTCTGAGATGCTGGCAGCTGCCGACCCATTAATTCACCGGGCTTGGAGACGGTCGTGTCCCGATGCGATTATTCCGTCTTCATTTACGAGCTGAAGCGCTTTTATAAAGAAAAACTTCCCTTCACCTACTACCTGGTTACCCAGTGGTAGAGTTCATTATATAGGAAAGGCAGGTGAAATGCTCAATTATTTTTCTTTGCCTACCGGTTTTCAAAACAAAGCATCGGTTCACTAGTTTTCTTCCAATGTAGACGGGATGAGTTCTTTTCCTCCTAATGTTGTTATAAATTCATAGATTTAAACGTATTTCACGTGTTTTTGTCTGATGCCATCATTCTTCTTACTGAGGCTCACACTGTCTGTTTGTGGCTGGTGCGCATCTTCTCGATGTGGCTTCTTTTCGTCATAACCCTAGTCTCTGACGGCTCCCTTGCTACCCGGTATCCGAGATGCCAGGCTGTCTTACACGATTCCTGCCTATGGTCATTTCCGCAAGCGGCCCTGATTCCTTCTCGTGCGGATGCTGTTTCTTCCACCATCGGGAAGGAGGGGCAAGTAATTTTTGATAGGTTAAAACTTTTCATTTTTTGTTTCCTGAATCTGAATTAGAGTAAATATTTTCCTTTCCATTTTTCTTCTTCTTCTTCTTCTTCTTCTTCTTCTTCTTCTTCTTCTTCTTCTTCTTC